TATTATTTTTTTGGCCCGGCCGGGCAAGTTGTCCCAGGCCACTTTGGTCGCCTAGGTTAATATTGGAATGATACGGAGAAAGAAGAAAACACAGTCATCCTTCCGTGTTTAAAGAGTGAGAAAAGCCATCCGAAGCAAGATTCCACCCGACAAACTGCCGAACCAACTTCAAAGCTTTCCAAAAAGAAAAGAGAAAACGCACCTCAGTTGTGATCTCCACAGGGAACCCGAACGTGTCGTAAAGCAGGAAAACATCCTTGCCAGATAGACATGGATTCCCACATTTTTCCCTTTTTCCTGTTTCCAAAGCCTCAATCAACAGCTCTTCCAGAAGTTTTTCTCCTCTTTCGAGAGTTTGGACAAACCTGCATCCGAATGAGGGCAACCCACGGCGCATTGTTCATATGTATCTACTATTTACTATTTATAGAGAGTTTGTTTTTTTTGTGCTTGGAAGGAATTTTCAACTGACCGGGAAAAAAAATAATAAAAAAATCAATCATCGCCGATTCATCGGGCAACTTGACACGTAGCCAAAGGTTGTTTGTAGCACTATTACCACACACTATACTTCTTTCCAAAAATATTGATTAACTTCAATTTGATTTTGTATTTTTAGGATTTTAGTATTTCAATTTTCAATACCTTAGCAGAAATCAATAAGGCAGAAAACTCAGTCGGGTTGAGCACGTAAGTGGCACTCAGGAGGTCGTGGATTCGATGCCCAACGTCGTCCTTTCGATCCCCACAGCAACCTGGGGTAGGCGTCGGTTTCACCAGCGGAGGTTGTTGGCTTGGGCCTCCTGGCTGGTTGTGGAAGTGATTCTCTCCAGCCCGCGCCAGGTTTTAGGAGTTTGGGTACTGCTCCCCCCCCACAAAGCAGAGATAGGTAGACGTAGACCCTTATAATCTTAAGACAACTTAGTACTCTCTTTTGGCTGCAAATTAGGTAGCTCCTGGTAGGCCCATAACCCTTAGCATTGTCTACTTGGCCTAGGACTCTAGGGTATATCAGGTAGTGTGAGAAAAAGACAAAAGTAACTCCCCATACTGGTTATGTGAGTAGATAATGTAGGGTAGGTAGGGAAAAGAAAAGAAAAAAAAAGCCAGAAAAACTAGAGAAAAGTTCAGAAAACTGTATTTTTTATTAACATCAATTTCGTCAATTTTAGTGCAAGGAACCATGCAAAATGAACTATTAATCTATTATGAAGTTATTAAGAACAAAAAGAAATTCCGAAATGCGAAAAAAAGGCTTGAAAAAGCTCAAAAATAGAAGACCAAGCATGAGTGACCCAAGTTGAAAACAGAAGAATACAAAAGCCGAGACCACACCAATTAGGAGGAGCATACTGGAAAAAAAAAAAAAAAAAGGAGCATACTGGACACGTCCTTCGGGACATCCGTTAAAATTGGAACGATACAGAGAAGATGAGCAATATTAAGCATGGCCCCTGCGAGCAAAGATCACATGCATAAAGTTCATAAACCGAAAATGGTCCAAATTAAAAGGGAAAAAAGGAAGCAATGAAGTCTTGGCAACAGCAACATAGTAGCCCTACTGTGATGGGTCCGCTTACACTACTCTCTACTCCCACGCATGCTAGTCTATGGTCCACACACTCTCTCTCTCTCTCTCTGTCCACGCATCAGTCGGCGAATGCTGCATAAAGAGTCTGCTCACACAAGCTGCCCATGATCAACACCAGATCAGTACCGCCAGTTCCCACTACCTTCCTCCTCTTCTTCTAACCACCTCCACACCAGATAAGTACCGCCAGTTCCCACTAGGGCCACTACCTTCCTCCTCTTCCAACCACCTCCACACCTTGCCACTTACCTCCCTGCTTAGCTCCTGTTACATGCTGAAAGCCTACACACGGGCCCCTCACGGGACCCGAGGTTGGAATAGGGCCCCCAGGTCGCGTCACCGCAACCTGAAGGCCCTATGGCATTTTTACTTGGGCCTGCATCAGAAAAACGCCAGCTTTAGATTATTTTTATAGTCTTTATTTTATTTATTTGCTGCTGTTTTTCTAACGGGTGTACTGTTATCCGTTTTGTGGCCAGGTACACGCTTCTAGGGCCAGGGCCAGATTCGCTTCTAGGGCCAGGGCCAGATTCAGGCCCAGAGGCTGAGCTCCTAAAAACGTTTGGACCTTTTCTTTTGTTTTCGAGCAGATTTTGACCTGTTCGAACCCAGGCCGACGTTGAGGCCGGGTACGTCCGCACAGGACCGGTTTGACGCCAGGTACCAGGAAGATTAATCCTGGACAGGGCCTGGACGTCCGGTAGGGACCCAGGCAGGCCGTTTTAGGCCAAGGACTGAACCAGTTTTCGAAGCCTGCGATCTGGGCCGTGGATCGGAGTTTCGATCTGCAMGGTCCAGAACRCAGGCCGTGGGTTTTCAGTCCTGGCCCAGCACTACTTAAGCTGGGCCATTGCCCAGTTCGGACACAGAAGGTACCAGGAGAAATCCAGCGTTATGCTGGTTCAGGAACTTGGCTGCTGCGCTATTTTGGAGACTCCCTGCTGCGCCATTTCGAGACTGCAGCTCCGCTGCTCATCGGCCATGAGGCACAGCACTGGAGGAGTCCAGCGCCGAGGAGGGTAGTGGAGT